GGGGTGGGGTGGGGGGTCCTGTCCGGCAGGCCTGGAGCCCTGATGCTCCTTGCCCAGCGCTCTCACCCGCTTCGCAGCCAGGCTGCCACAAGGGGGCGCACCGGGGCTCCCAGCCAGGGGTCTGGGGCAGTATCAGTCCTAGAGACCTCCACTCTCCCCACACTCCTCCCGCACAGCAGATTTGGTCTTTGCAATGCTGGGGGAAGGCTGGCTCAGTTATTTTGAGCTTCACCTGTTGCAAAGCAGCAAAGCTACGTGAGGAACAGATGACAGGAACCCGGGGGGGCTGCAAAAATAGATGCCAACGCCGGCGGCAGATTAACCGAGCTCTCGAGTGGGCCGCTCGGAGGGAGCAAGCAGCGCAGGCCAGATTGGTGGCGGGCCAGAGGCCGGCAAAGGGCATTCTGTGTCTCCCTGACTGTACTCTCATGTGCGGGTAAAGGCCCCGGTTAAATTTCAGCCCTTTGTTCCCCAAATAATGAAAGAAAGACGCTTTTGCTCTTTCAAGAAAAACCGACAGGAAACTGCCTTTGGGCATTCTTGTAGCTGAAGAAAACCTCATCCTCGACGTGTTTTCCGCAGATCAGCGCCCCTCCCACCCAGGCGCTTTTTAAGGGTTCTCTCCCACACTTCCCTTGCACTAGCTGTGTCGGGGAAAGCAGCGTGGCCCATCTCGAGGCTTCCTCTCGCCCCTCCAGGGAAAAAAAACTCCAACCAAACAGCATGGGGTGAACCAAGCCCTTCTCTTCAAAGTCTTCCACCTAATATGTTAAAACGTTTCCTTTAAAAAAAATACACTGACATTTCCCCAGTCGCCAGCAGTTTTGGTTGCCACAGATTCTACAGAGCTGAGTTTGCAGGGATCGCCAACCTGATCTCTCCGGGATTTCAGCAGGACTGCTCCAGCTGCAAGTCCACGCTCCGTCCCGAGGAGGCTCCCCTGAAGAGGCTTCCAGGCGATGGATGTCTGCATGTGCACCCCAGGCCGGGCTGGGCCACCGTCCACTTCCTCTCCCTCGTCCCTGCCCACCTGCAGCGAGCCCCGTTTTCACATCAGGAGCCCCAGAGGAGGACGCTCCTGTGCTGCAGAGGCAATGCTGCCGACTCTGAGAGCGCTCAGATCCCCCAGGGGAAAAAGAGAATGACTGCCAGGGTGAGGTGGAGAGAGGGGCGGGTGGTCTGGCAGGCAGCGTCATGCTGGAAGAGGTGCAGCTTCTTGGCATCTGGGTGGAAGACCCGGGCATCTTCCAAGGCGCCATGTGCTGCGAGGGTGAAGTTGCTGTCCCCCGAGGCCACCACGTCGAAGACGCACGAGTGGAAGTAGGCGTCCTCCACCGGCAGCTTCTCCTTGCACAGCCAGTAGGCCTTCTCGGCGGTGATGGCGCCCTGGCCGCAGCAGCCTTCGTGCCGGGAGAGGCGCTGGCTGAGCGGGCAGCCGCCCACGCACAGCTGGAGGTCCTGCTCCTCAGTGAAGGAGCGGGCAACCTCCTCGGCCACGCGGATGGAGAAGGACAACTGATTCCCTGCCTGGCGCACCGCAATGGTGGTGCCGATGTAGGCCGCCCGGATCTCCACGTGCTGCCCAGGAGCACGCTCCAGGATGCGCAGGCTGTGCCCACCAGGCCGCTCGCCCCCGTTCACCGAGCCGTCCTCAAAGGCTGCCGGGAGGCTGTTTGCCTCGGCTTGGTAGACCTTCTGGTCAATGCACTCCTTCATGTTCTTGAAGATGATGGTGATCTGGAAAGAGAGCAGAGGTCAGGCACTCAAGGGGGCCCGAGGCACCTGTTCCCCGGGAGTCTGAGGCCCGGAGGAGCGTGTTTCGG